CATGGCCAAAAAGCTGAGCAAACAAACAAAGAAGATTTCAAGCCCAAATTATCCTTACAGTCAGTGAATTACACTTTTACTCAATATAGTTTCCATACCATCTGGCTTTGAAAGTTCAGATGTACCCCTTAGGTAACTTAGTTTGAATATTAGCCCAGAGGTTTTAATTTTAATTTTGGGCGTGGGAATTTGAGAGGATTATTAATAGCTCGATCTTCACGTCTGGTTACATCGCATGTAATTCTAACCTTTTGGCATTAAGCAAAGGCATAAAGAAACGTTTATTAATCTATGGCAAGCTCTGCAAGAGGGCAGGATAAAGATTTATTAAATAGAGTATTCCACTTTTTTATTGCTTGGCCATCTAATTGGCCATGCAAAGGCCTATAATCTTGTCCATTCAGGATTGTCATCTTGTAATTGGCTACCACAAGAAACAATTTTCTTTTTGCAAAAGTAAATAATAAATGGTATCAATATTAGACCTTTCCCACATTACAAACAAAGGCACCGGCCAACTCGAGGCTCTGGGCCAAGTTGTTCAAAGCTGGGTTAAGATCACCCAGGGTTAGTGCGAGATTTGAATTAAGATTTGAAAGCTTAAAAAGCATTTCAGTTTTAATTCTTTTTGTCTACAAGTTGATGATTGGAAGGTCTAAAAATAGCACAGAAAATTATCCGAGAAAATGCTTTTGAACACAAGAAAAAGAAACCCGGGTTAAATTTAACCCCAGGTTAAGCGCTAATCGGCCTTCGAACAACTGGGCCCTGGTGGACAAAATACAGTGATTTGTATGAAATTATCGACCCGAGCCTTGGCCTCATGTCTATAACATGTAAATATGAAAGATGATGATGAAAATAATGATTGAATCACAGTAATTAAAATAAATGCCTTATGATGATGGTGGTGTTGGCAGTGACAACTATAGGGGTGGCGAATGGTACCTCAAAAAACGTGGGTCTCCGAAAATTTTGGCAGGATCTCGAAATCTCGGAAGCGTTTTTGATAAGTCTCAAAGTCTCTTTTTTCATGGTTTGCTTTTACTTTTTTTGAGTCTCGAAACTTTTCACCAAAGAGTCTCGGGCTCAGATTTCTAACTAGGATCTCGGCGTCTTGGCGAGTCTCGGATTTTACCATTCGCCACACCTAACTATATCTCCGCATAATCACCTTAAACATCCACCAAGTTCGTGCTCCAAGAAAAAAACCATATCTTCCAGTGTTTTCATAAATGACGACATGGTCTCTGTTGTTTACTGCACTTCCTCTGACATTCATTTCAAACATTTCCACATTTGGAATGTTGCGGGGATAAGTGGGTGTATTCTCTACTCCAAAAAATATGTCCATGTAGGAGGCACTAATAATATGTCGCCTGTAAAGGAGGAAATATCAATTAAACATTTTTCACATTTTGCCTGTTAACTATAGACTGGTGAAATGGATCAGGACAGTGGGACTATGGCCATCCTCTTTTTTTTCTTTGTTTAGCATTGTTCGACCAACCCAAAATTTTGGCAGAACAAGAACCTTTTTTACAGTATGTCATGCATTTTTTTAATCCAAATATGTAAATGTTAACTTTGAACGTCATCCTCGTTGTTAGTCTAAATATGTCTTGTTGTTTCCAGGCTCCACAACAATGATGCTGAGGTGCCAGCCCTCCTCTTCCGATTTTGTGATTTTTCTTTTTAGTTTTTTTTTTTTTCATTCCTACCGACCGACCCAATTTCAGGAAACATATTCGACCCTAAGCGAAAAAAAAAATGGGGGATGGCCTAACCTAGAAAAGAATCTTGCATTAACAATTGTATTGTCTAATCAAATGAACTTAATGACTTCACTTTGTTAGCTTCCCAGTAAATAGGCTGCACATGATAACATGATGATAATACACCAGTCAATTCTAGCTGTGGCCATCACTCCCCTTCCACCCCACTCTCCCCCTTCCACCACCCCCGCCTTCAGCCTGCCTCATCTCCCAAACAGCTACAATTTTTTTCTAGTCCCTGACCTTGGAACCCAAAATACAGAAGTTAATTTACGGTCCGGGGAAAAAATTCCGCTGTCTTTTAATTCAGGAGCAATATAGCGCATAAGGAGCCGTACCTCATTTTACCACAAGGTTATACCAATAAGCCATAGTTAGATACTGTATTAGCGTGTCTTTCACAAGTGAAAGGTGAATTGCCAATATTGCTGCAACATTTAACAACAGACGCCTTACTCAGAGAAATCCATGATATAATCTTTGTTGCTGAACCATGTCGCGTCCAAAACAGCTAAATTTCCTTCCCTTTTCGTGAGCTTTTCGCTCAGCCACTCAGTAGACACGACACATGGAGTATGTGAGCCCATTTCTATCTTCCGTCGGTTGATCGATGCAGTGGCGATCAATGTAATCAGTTCCTTGTTTGTCCTTGTTGGACGTGTAGAGCTCTCAAAATTCACCGATCACGTAATTAAATGGATATCAGACATGCTGCATATGTAAAAACACCCATTGTGCTAGCTTATTGTCCAGTAAAGAACGAAACATTCCGCGAAGGTCTTTCAATTTCAAGCTCAATCACTTCACAAATAACTTTATTGGTTCCCAGTCTCTCCGTTCTTTTCAGAGAAATTCAAAATATTGGAATGGAACTAAGGACTAGGATTTCTGGGGAACTGAGGAATAACATGTCTAGATTTGACCCTCAACTAGGCAAGTTGCCGCCTTATGGTGTTGGAGGTTGGCCGCTTTATGACCGAAACGTCACTTTATTTTATCGAAGCAAACATTTTTAGAGGCTTATCACAACTTTCGCGCAAGACACAGCTCTGCGTGCGTGCTGCTTGGACGGGACAGAGTTTGGTTTTCTGGGTCTTGTGTTTTTTGTGAAAATGTATAAAAAAACGGGGCATACAATTTCACAAAGTCTTGAACAGGGTGTTTTCTTGGTCCAGAAGCCTTTAAAAGCTGATGTGAGGGTAGACAAGTCGAGCTCATTTTTTTTACTAGCGCGAGGCGCGAGGCGCAGAATTTTTTTGTTTTTTCCTGGTTATGCCTAGTAAAAAGCCTTCTTCTTCGTCTTCCCTTTTTTTATATTAAAGTTTGTTTACGTCTCCAGTCAAATAAGTCACGCCATTCCTTAGTGGGACACATGTGGCGGGGGGGGGGGGGGGGATGGGGGGATGAGGGGGAGGTTTGGGTAGAGGTGTGCCCTCAAGGCCTTCAATTTTTGACCCTTGGTCTGATTAAGACAAAAATCGTTCAATTCGCTACCCTGTTTGAGACAAGGAGACTTAACTTCTTGACTCTGATTCATTTCGTTTCACGCACAGAATTAAGTAATTCAAAAACTGTCATCACATCATGGAATAAGGTTTTTGGAAAAAAACAAACCAACTAATCAAACAAAAACAAACAAACAAAAAACAACAACGTTGTTGTGAGCTGCTGAGAGCTTGCTGAGAATACAAATAGTACATATCTGCATATTTGGCAGAATACCAGTCGTATTGCAAAGCCACAGGTCATCTCAGGTGGGTGAGCTGCACCCTCCCCCTAGATCCGCCCATGCGGTTTTCTTCCTTTTCATTGGCCTAAAGGCAACCACGTGACCAATCAATCAATCAATTTATTGCGGGGGGATTGAGGTTCCCCTCAGTATCCAAGCCAGGGGCTCATGTATGAAACGCATGACAAAAATAAATTTAAAAAGTATAATGAGATAAAAAATAATAATAATTACAGTATTAAGAGTTGCTAGAAGTTACATAAATAACTGCCGACAAATAATGGTCTGCTCATGCGCAATGTCGTCCAACTGTGTTTGGCTTTAAGTGTTTGGTAAACGAAACCACGTTTTTTTCCTTCTTGCGATCGCTCTTGTGTGATCAGGAAAAATGGCAGATCGCTTCGCTTCCCAAAGATCGTGACTCATTGCTATGTGACGTCACACTGGCCTAAATGCGTAACCTGAAAAATAAGTTAAATACAAAATAAGATCGTACGAAGGGAGGTTTTTGAGCCCACGAGATTAAGCAACGTCCACAAACCCTTGTTTTCACATAAAACTTCATTTCATCTCGAATTTCAGAGTAGCCAAAAATAGGCTAGTATTCACTAAAACCGCAGGACACCAAACCTCCCCTGGGTCAACCGAAAAATAATAGACCTTTATCTGAACGCGGCTTCCATTTTGCATAAAAACAAAACAATTTTGCACGCCTGGCCTCATTGGAAGGAGAGGTAGGCGGTGCGCATGCGCAAGTCACGCAGTTATATGAAACATGTAAAATTACGTGGACCCCATACCTCGTTTTTCTGGGTTCATAACGCATATTTGATAGTCAGAACGACCATAAACCCTTTCATACAAAACGATTCTCGTTTCTTTTTAAATATGTCTTCACAGAATGCAAACCCAATCGTGTCTACAAGTTGGCTGAACACTGAGCTCAACGAAAAAAAGAATGATTTAGCCGTTATTGATGCCACTTGGTTCCCAGACAAGGATGCATCAGAGGACTTTGCAAAGTAAGTTGCTAGCGCTCTCTAACTCGTGAAGTCGATTTATGGCAAGTCTAAGTAAGCTGATGAGAAAGACGCCTAAAAGATTAACTGAAAACTGCCTTTGCTCACTATTTTTCTACTTTATAAGCATGCCTTATTTTAAGTGAAACTCCAGTCGACGGCTAAGATGAGCCATGACTCACTCAAAGTTGGAGCCACCAGACCGGAACATTCATTTACTATGGACACACCTTTTATACATATTTCAGTCGGCTTTGAACAAGCTATCCCTCGTTCATCTGACTTGATGAATATGAACATAAATGTCTAATACTTTGTCTCCGAGAGTTTCAGTATTGGAACCGTCGAATTCGCAGAGGCAAACTTTCACCAGTCATGCAAATTAATCCTCGGCCCCTTAGCCTTCGAACGCAGACGTACTTCCGGTCGTCTCTTTTTTAGTGTAAAAAACATACAAAAGGTCTACTTAAGCGCGAAGCAAGATAAAGACAATTTTTGTAAGAATCAATCCCGTACAGCCCTTTGGATTTATTATACATGTAGCAATTTCATACTATTTCACACAACTGTAGTCTGAAATGTCATACGTGGTACCCGGGGGGTACTCCTGGGAATTCTTGGTGGGGGTGTGCCGCCCGGTTCTTAAAATCCTGACCCGATTTCAGACCAAAAAATTTTATTTTCCACACCCGTTTTCAGACTAGACCTCTAAAATCCACACCCGTTTTCAGACCTGGCCTTTAGGCAGAAATTATGTTATCATTACTTAGATTAGCGCGTAAACAAAAAAAAATATTCAAATCCGTTTCGAATTCGCATATTTCTGTTAAACAATAAAAATGGAAGCGATGGAAAATGTTCGCAGTGCACACGTTTTTGACTTAACATTATTAAAGGAATTTTATTCGGTGTTTGGGATTTATTGCAAAATTCATTCGTTTCGGAAAATATTTATAGGTTAAGGAAAAATATCATAAAAAGCAATTTGACTCATTTTACTTGGTGTTAACTCCTACGCATCAGCACTGATTAAAGGACATCCTCTCCCGAAATGAGAAAATAATTTCTGTTGATTCATTCTCTTTGGTCTTGTTAGCCACTTGTGACAATTGTTACAATATATGTTTGTAATGGAGTTGTTATAAGCGTTCTTGTTGATTGGTTTGAGTAAGCTACTTCACTACTAGTAGGATTGGTTTTCTAAGTTAATTGATGATCGATAGAAAGTTTCTCCTGACATGAATTCGGTACAAAGGAGATGTACCAATTTGGTGCATCTCCGCGGTAACACTTCTGTTTACGAAATATGTTTAATTAAAGCCTTTGACAGGTGACAAAGCCTTGTTTATATTAAGTATTTTGTCTAGTTTGACATCCTTGACCTTAATCTGGTCTCCCTTCGATATTTACCAGGAACTACTACCCTGCTTGTTTTTTTAAGAGTTTTAAGCGTGTTTCCTCGAGTTTTTAACCGAATTCTTGGCAGTGGATAACTTTAATTAAGCTTAGTGGTTTTATAGGTGTTTTTGTAATCAAACAACTATTGTTTTAAATTCTGCTTTGTACTTTGAACTGCATTTTTAATTTATCCTTTAAGTTTGCGATCACGTTCGTGGTTAAATTATGGAAAAGTTGTAGCCAATCATCTTCGATGAAGAAGCTTAACACCTTCTGTAAATTGACAACAACCTTGGATTTTCAAACTGTAATTTTAGTACTTTCCTATCTGTTAGTATGAAAAGTCTGTTTACTGGTATATACCTTGTAGTTTTTATATTGTTCTCCTGGTTTTATATTGGCCAGTTGACTTAGGCTTGGCAGTGAAAACTTCGGTTGAAGAGTCATTTCGACAAAGCAATTACCTCGAAGGTTTCATGCTAATGAAACTGTTTTGGCCAATCGGATTAGACTTACGTCAGCATTCGGCTTACGCCAAGCAACTGGTTTCCTGGCTGATATAAAAATACGTGTAACACTGATCTAGCAGAGAATTGTAAAATACAAGTTGCACTAACTTCGTGACACCTTACGGAAGAATTAATGAGAGTCGATTGAACAAGAACTCGTCTGTCTTGCTGTTTGTTGTTAGAACCTGCTAGTACCCCCAGTAAGGTTCTTCAACATTTCTCTTTCTTTCTCACTCATTTGGAATTGAAACGATAAATACGTTCATACACTCCCGTAGTTTCCTCGAAAACCATACCCGATTCCAGACCAAAATGGGTAAAGTGTATACACGTTTTCAGACCAAGACGGCGCAAAATCCCCACCCGATGGGGCGGCACATACTTGGATTACATCAGGGAGTAAACCCTCCCCCCCACTCCCCTCCCCGGGACGTGGTATGACATTTCGGATTGACACAACTGTTTCTCTCAAATTTCGTCTTATTCACATGCATGTGTACACATAATTTATGAAAAGACAAAGTGTGAAGTTCCCCTGGGACCTCTATTGGGAAAACAAAACATACAAGCTACAGAGCTATATTGAGTCGATACGAAACATGTTTTCCAACATAACTGAACACCCAGGGAGAGGGGGATACCCCGGGAAGCTCCGCCCCGAGGTCTACCCCCTTACTCTTTTAAATACTATTTTTGATAGAAAGGGTACTCCTTTCGTATACCTTCCATTGACAAATGTTACCCTCTTCACAAACCTCGTTAAGAACTTTGCACTCCTTTAACTGCCTCGTTTGCGTAAGTGTTGACATGCTAAACTCGTTCCCAGGTTCTCTCTAGTTTTACTTCTGCAGAAGCCTATATGGCTCCTGACTTTTTCTTTTCTTTCACTTTTATTTTTATTTTCATTTCATAATAAAAAGGTTTTGTATTGTTTTGAAAATTAACAAAATGAATCTATTTCCAGTTCAATAAAAAACAAAATAATTTGACGTTTTACTTTCGCTTTATTTTCAATGCAAAGTAATTAAAGTTCAATCTCAAAATAACAAATTTATGTCGTTTTTACGAATGGCAGTTGTCGGCCTCCACAGAGATGCCAAAAAGTTACCGAAGAAATGCGAATGAAATGCTTTTTAAAACAGACAATGTATGCCAAAAAGTAGATGCCAAAAGACAAATGCAAAATACCGTATGCCAAAATACACATGCCAAAAATCAAATGCTAAAGAAATGTAAACGTAATCTATCAAGTAACCAACACACAAAGAAAGTCATGAAATATAAAAACAACTAAGGAGAAAGTGAATATGTTACAGTGCCTAAGCAGTTTAAAACAAATGAATTTCAAAATGGAATGTTTCTCAAGCCTTCTAGTTACCATAAATACAGAGGTGATAATTTTCAACATTAGGTTGTCCGTAATAACGAAACTCAATCACGAAATTCAAGAGCAGTGGCACTTAGCACCCCTTCTCGTTTACGATTCAATTCATCCATGAGCTTGCTCCTAGGAGCCTTTGATCTAGTCTACTTGCGTAACGACATAAAGAACGGTACTGGCAGTTCCCGGCCAAGAACATATTAATTTTACTTTTCTGTTTTGAACGGCAGTTCCCGAATATGAACATACTAATCGGTTTACAGTTTCTTTTTTGAATGGCAGTTACCGGCCGTGAACATTAATTTTACTTCTGTTTTAATTTCACTTTTATTTTAATGCTCATTTCATAATAAAAATGTTTTGTTTTGAGTTGAAAATAAAAAAACCCCAGTTCAATGAAAAAGAAAATAATTTTGCGTTTTACTTTCACTCCATTTTCGATTCAAAATAATTTAAGTTCAATCTAAAATTAACAAATTTATGTCGTTTTGACGAATGGAAGTTGTCGGCCACCATAATACTGTAAATTCGTTGTCTTTTTTAAAATATGAAGAAATCACTAAACCAGAAAGTTTTCTCGTCTTTTTAACATCCATAAAATGCATTTGTTAGCCTCTTTAGGCCTTTATACAGACCGAAATGACAGAGTTTCAGCCTCTGTCAACGTACTTGGTATTTGTTCTTGAAAAAAAAAAGATCGTACTCAGCATCTTACGTATAACTGCAGATCTCTGGACAGAGTGAAAACTTTTGATAACGCTGGCTTCTCGTCTACGTATGGACGGACGAAAAGGGAGGTTTTCGAATGCAATGAAATCATATACTAATAGCTGCCTCGTACCCAGACGTCTCTCTTTCCATGAAAATGTGCGCGCAAAGGAAGGCGGGAAGGAGACAACGGGCGTCTGTACCCTTCCAGTGGTCCCTTGCGGTTCATCACCAGTCGCTCGCCTCTACCTTACGAAAAACGAGGCGCCTGAGGAGGAGGCTGTACAAATAGCATTACGCACGCTCTGTAAGGGATGTTATCGTATTTCCAAAGTTTTTGTTTTTTCATGGACGGGCAAAAATCTTTCTAATACGCTATCTGTGGACGCGCATTTTCTTGAACACAGAGAAAAAATCTCTCTTTACACAAATATCCGGATACGCGACTGGACTGTCTCTTCATCAAGTCCAGTCAAGACATTTATAGTGCGGGCTGCTATCGTTTCGTTTTCCTATGACATAGAAAATGTTGTTTTTATTTTCTAGAGAGCATATTTCCACTGCAACATACATGGATATGTTTAAGGGAGTAGAGAACACGCCCTTGTACCCGAGGAACATTCCAGACGCTGCAACCTTCCAAACAAATGCGAGGGGAAGTGCAGTGAACAACAGCGATCACGTCATCGTTTATGAGGACATATTTGGAAACTTCATGGCTGGCAGAGCTTGGTGGATGTTCAAGGTGAGTTTCCGAGAAAAATTCACCAAATAGAAGTTCAAAGATGGAATTAAGTGAATGTTAATGCGAAGAAATTTTAGAAGGTAGCCCGCGACACAGTCATAATTGGCCACCATGCGTGGAACGTCTGCAGTGGGTGATCCAGGGGAGGGGCCCGCCCCCCCTTATTTTTAGGCCAAACTGAGGCCCGAAGGGCCGATAAAATAAATTTGAGACCTCCTTCCCCTTATCTGAAGGTCTGGATCGTCCTCTGGTCTGTAACTCGACTACTCCACAGAATTGAGAGTCAGACTACTGCCCGGGGGGGTTGATTCCCGTATGAAGTACTAAGTACGCAGTAGAGTTCTCTCCTAAAAGGATCAATATGGCCGTGGCTCAGACTTAAAATGACCCCTAAAGGAGACCATAGGAAAAGAGACAACCTATCCCTGGAGGCAATATTAGGAGCTATGGCTAGTGATTTACGTTGACGGAAAATTTGATTTTCTTTGTATTTGTTTCTTTGCACACTACCTCAATTTACTATACATGGGTATAAATATTAGCTTTCCGTCCTCAACACACTAAGGTAGGTAGGTAATCAGAAAAAAAAATTCATATCTCGGCAAGAGAAACACGCTAGCCCCAACAACACTTGGTTTGGTTTCCATGGAGGACGTAATCACTTAGTCAGTAAGTGAAATCAAAATTTGCAATTTACCACCTTAGCGTGACCCTGACTGGACATTCCCGTCTCCTTGATATGGGTATCCCCGCTCACGGTGACTATACACTTGAAAGAGAAGGCTCTTCATGCTCTTTTTTAGTTTAAGAAAACACACAAACTTTAGCAAATTAAAACCTTCTCTTGCTTGCAAAATATTTGAAACGATGATTTCCCCAATATTATCATATAATAGCGAAATTTGGTGTGTATATGTAAAACATGATATGAAAGCTTGGGACAATACCCCAACTGAAAAAACCTACTTGAAATTTTGCAAGCGTTACCTAGAAATAAGCAATAAAACTTCAAATGTTGCAAGTAGAAGTGAATTAGGACGGTTCCATTAATTATTAATATTTGTAAAAACATCCTTTATTACATATTGTATCTTCTGCGTAAAAACGAGGATACTATTGTTAAACAAGCCTTTCGTACTTCGCTAGAACTTCACTGTAATGGTGAAAATAGCTTTTACCATAATCGTATGAAAATACCTGAATATTATGACCTCCCTGATTTTGATCCTAATAATTTAAGTGAAGCTAAGATCAAACACTATATAGATATAATAAAACAAAAATATATTACATATTGGCAACATACAATACATCATTCTAAGAAACTACAATTTTACAGCTTGTTTAAACATGATTATAAAATTTCAAGTTATCTAGACTTAATTAGAAATTCTGCTAATAGGAAAAGATTTAGTGAAAATTCGTATAAGTAACCACAAACTCATGATTGAAACTGGAAGATATAATCAAACTTCCCGCAACAATAGATTCTGCCCTATTTGTAACTCTGGTATAATTGAAGACAAATTTCATTTTCTCTTCCATTGTCCAAAATACTCAATCCCAAGGGAGAAATTCTACAATCAAATCCAACAAAATTTTGTCAACTTTAATCAGCTATCTTACACAGAATTAATAATTGAATTGATGAATTCACAGAATTTTTCCGTAAATTCACATTTGTTGAAATTTGTCTCATTATGTAATGATTTAAGTAATAATTTGTTATCAAATCATGCTGATGACACTTGATTGACTATAGTAATCATTGCATTGCATTATCATTGTTATGATTTGTTTGTTTGTTTGTTTGGTTTTTTTTTATGTTAAAGCTTTTGTAATACTGTAACTACATAATTATAGTCATGCAAATAAAGCTAATGTTGTTGTTGTTGTTGTTGTTGTTGTCGTAGTACAGGTCTCCTTAAGTGACTTTGGAGTGGCAAGGAGTTTTTAGAGAAGCCGCGTTGAGCACGCAAGTCCCACGTGGTGTCATTAAAATAAAACAGCAATATTTGCCAACGCAGTTAAGGTGTCTATTTTCTAAGTGTAATCAAAAAGCGTGTTTCTGTTTCTTTTTCTTCTTTATTCAGCTCTTTGGCCATGAAAATGTATCCGTTATGGATGGCGGTCTGGCAAAATGGAAAGGTGATGGCTTCGAAACAACAACAGCTTTGGCCAAGAAGAAGGTACTCATCGTCACTTTGCTCAAATTACTGCCAGGAAACCTTAATGGCTAGCTTTTTTTAGCTGGAATAATTTCTTGTTTTACGTTGTTCTAAATTATGAATGATTGCTACGCGCCATAACCAGAGAATGGTGGGGGGGGAGGGGGTGGGTACTCCTGATGATGGCCTATACGGGAAGGCTCTGCTCGAAAGGGGTACCTTTTTCAGTCTTCAAAAGGGTAAAAGGGTAGGTAGTTCACTAGTGGAAGTATATAAAAGGGAAGAGAAATCTGTCATTTGGGTCTGTAAAAGGGCTCAAAAGGGCTAACGGATGAATTTTGTGGCTTTAAAAAGTCGAGAAAAAGTTCTGGTTTTGTGATTGATTCCTATTTAAAAGACGTCGCATTTACAGCAGTTCAAAGGGATGCAATGTTCTAAACAAGGTATGTGCAAGGGGTACCATTTGTCAATAGAAGGTATACGAAAGGGGTACTTTTTCCGTGAAAAATGGTATGTAAAAGGGTAAAGGGTTGGACCTCGGATACCCCCTCCCCCGGGCCTTTTCCACCCGTGATAACAACCTCCCGTCCCCCCAGGGCCTTCCCTTTAGAAATGGGAGGGGTGAGAAAGGGAAAAGTACCTCAACAAGGCTGTTATGATGAGTGGCAGCATTGATCTATCAAACTATGAGCGCTGAAAATATTTCCCAAATCGATGCCAGCCGCCATATAACTGAAGATGGGCTCCAGATTGGCCTCTTAGCTCAGTCAGTTAAAGGTGTTGGTAGTAGTCTAATTCAGAGGTAGGGACTACCGTATTTTCAAGCGCCCAGCCTCGAATAACCGCCTACCCTGTGGGTAGCCCTAAAAAGTTGATAAGCGCCCGGCCCAGCCTCGAATAAGCAGCCCTTTCCCCCACCCCCTGGACCCCAATCAAAATTGACCTTACTGAAAAATGAGATTGAAGTTGACTAAACACTTCTCAGAGATTTTCCGAAGAACGAGTTTCTTAGTACTTTATAGAATTTTTCAATGAACAGTTGAAATTCTTTACTTCGACAGTCTTGTTATTAACTGTTTTGTTATAAAAATAAACTCATGCAATACTTGCTGAAAATGGTGAAAATTTGATAAGCGCCGTCCTCAAATAAGCCCCCACTCTCAAGGTCCAAAAATTTTAGTACCCAGGGATAAACATGGTATACGCGTGAGATATAAGTACGTTAACTAGGCCTAATGAGAAATCAAATAGGCACAGAATCAGTAATTGGATTGAATGGGTTGAACAAAACTAAATCGAACTAATACTAATCTGTCTTCAACCAACAGGAGGGGGATCTTACAGCAAAGTTTAATCCAAAATGGATCGTTAAGTTTGAGGAAATGGTTGAAAACCTCACGTCTCGAAAAGCGCAAGTTTGTGACAGCCGTGGCCCTGCTATGTACAACAAAAAACCAGATGGTAATATGCGTTATAATAACTTCATTCTATATTTTCCAATAATCTGGTAAGCGCACGAACGGATCGAGCAAGCGCGACCCTCGAGGATCTCTAAAAGAAAATAGAGTGTACGTGAATAGGATAGGCCACATGTAATGCGAAATTATTTTATGCTCTCAAAGTTGTATTTAATTGAATGATGTATTTCATCTGCACAACTGATCCGCGAATATTTGCCTACTCTTCAGGACTCGGAAAATTTTTGCAACCTGTTTTCTGATGGGTCTTCTTGAGCTCTATTTGCTCCCTTTACTCATTTATCCGCCTTAAGCCTGCGACCCTCGCAGTGACTACCGCGCTTGTTCGCGCGCGTGCTCCCAACGACAGCTACCCATCATTTTCGCCACTCCCCTCGTGGCTGCGCAGATCTTTTGCGCGCGCACCACCCAAAGAAATGAATCTAGAAGAATTCGCAATTATCGTTGTAACTTGCTTATGCAACCAGAAGACCCCACTAAAGGCTATTTAACAATGATTCCACGAGTGTGCGTTGGGTATGAGATGGAAGATAACCAACAAGGCGCGTAGCATCTCATATCCAACAAGCGCGAGTGGAATAACTGTTTTATTAATAAAGACGCCCACAAAATATCGAGAATTTTTCCCAACGTTATTTGTAAGAACAACCGATTTTCAGCTTGTTTTTAATTTTGAACAGACGTGTACAGTTATACCATATTTAGAGAGCATGGCATAATGGCTCATATACCATGATGGCCAAGCCAATCAGAGCTCTAGAATTGTATTATCCAATTTTAATATATAGGATCGGAAATAAATTACGACTAAATAAACTTGCAGTATGGACTTCGAACTCAGTTGAGGCTTTAATAACCTCATTTTTCACATGTTTTTTCCTTAGATCAGAATAGTGGACATTATCCGGGAGCAGTTAATATTCCCTATCCTAGTCTGTTCAACTCTGAAACCAAAGCTCTCAAAACTGTTGATGAGCTCAAGAAAGGTAAACTTTTGTACAACTTTAATTTGCTTTATAGGTAGTTTTGGCTCATGGGTCATGTCACAATTTAATAAAGCTGATGAGCATAGGCAGCCACTTAGAGCTGACGCTGGGTCACACTTCTTTATACAAGATAGAAGGGTAAAAGCTCTTTATTTGTGTAGCAATGTGTTTAGCACCAAAGTACGAATTGGTTACACTATTTTTATGTCTCCAACTGGAGACGGGACAGGTATTTTACGTGTTAATCGACCGAACCACACGAAAGCCTTGCCGTTTGCAAGACAAAGGCAGTACCTTCATTTCTCGGTGTTTCAGGAGTTCTCTCGGAGGTTGGGATGAACACCTGCTCTGTTGGGTTATTTGTGCGTGTTGATGTCTTGAAAACTTTGTTTTTTATGCTGTGAGAATAAGCCCCGCTGCTTGTTAGTTTGCCATTAATCGTTATTTAGCCAAGCGCGAATCGAACGTAAATCGAAAATGGTTTCCTCCGGTGAATAAACAAGGGAGTGGAAAGATTTCTGTGAATGCAATACAGCAAAGTTCAATCCAACCTCGTTCCCAGGGTTCTCTCCTAGCCGCTCGAGATCCCTGGGAACGAGGTTGAGTTCAATCAAGTAATTAGTATGACATGCCGGTGCTGAATTCCCAAAATTCCTTTTACAATTTATAGTGTACTCTGATGCTGGTATTGATCTCAGCAAGCCTGTGATTGGAATGTGCATCGGTGGCATGTCCTCGTGTACCTTGGTGCTGACGGCACATCTCTGTGGATGCCCGGATGTGGCTCTGTATCACGTGAGAAAAATTGAGTGTTAACCTCCTCTCCAGGCTTCTCTCCTACCTGTCCCATGAGCCTCGTTCCTTGGGAACGAGGCTGAATTCATGATCAGTGTTTTCTTTACCCTCGGACGGATGTTCAATAGGCCAAGGCTCACCCCTTTAACACCCCACCCCCCGAACCAAAAGAGATGTTTTGGATGTGTTCAAAGCCATTGTAGGGAAAACCGCACGTTAAGGAAATTCACGAAGCACGGAACGAATCTGTATAAAGACAAAATATATTAATATACATAAACTGCTTTATATTTGTTTATAAAATTGATTTGTCATGACAAGGCCAGGCTAAAAACATAAGGTACATTAATGTTTGTACCACTTTGAAATGAATTCTAGATTAAAAACCTTATCTCGCAGTACTTGAATAGTGCAAAACAAAGAGAAATGATCTTCCGAAGTTTTTGAAACATACCAAATAGTATTCTGACTTGATAATTGTTATCGTTTACGGTTAATTGTGTTCCATGTTCTCTAGTACAATGCAAGGTTCTGAAATCAAAGCACTTTAATATCTTTGCAGGGAGGCTTCATGGAATGGAAAGGAAGAGCAGACCCAAGTCAAATTGAATAAAACTAAGCCTGGTAAAATTATTTAGGGAACTGAAGAGGTTCAGTTGATCGACTTACGAACCACTCATTTTTCTCTGTGAGTCTTCTGTATCATTCCTAGCAGAACTGTTCTTAATCAGTACTGTGGTTTCAAACAGGTGCATTAAAATAACACTAATCCTAGCCTTTAGCTTCAAATGACAATTTGTTCATTGTTTACTATATATACGTTCATCTGCTATTTTACTCATTCATTATGATTTGTTGCGAAACGGATCCTAAATCGTTTACAACGCTGAACTGCGAATTCAGAAGTTTTTAGGATCTTTCTTTGCCCGTAAATTTTCTGGGTGAAATTCCCGACAACTTTTTTCTCACATGCTTGCATTTGGGGCAAGATGAAGTGTTAGGGGGTTGCGGGCAGGAAGAGTCTACTCTTCTAGCAGAGTAGCTCACATTCCTTCCTAGATAAGTCGAGAAGGGGGACTCATTTTGGAAAGATCGTAGCGACTCTTCTAGCATGGTAGGATGAATCAAGAGAGCTCAAACGCTTTTGATTGAAAATACAAGTTGCAGAACTTCCGTACACTTGTAAAGTGTAGTCAGTACGAAAACGTGACTGGCCTACCTGATTTTCAAGGTTTGGCTCGCTTCTATCGCACCCAATCTTTCTCACTATCTCACCCAACCACCTTAGCCGAAGACAAGCACTTTTAACCTTTTTGCATGGTGAGCAGACTAAGTCTTTCATCCTTAGACCAAGCAGTGGGAAGATTCCGCATTACCTTTAAAACCTGCGAACGAAATCTTCTGATGTTACCATACCGCCCCTAGACTGCAAAACAGTCGGGTTTTTTCTCAAAATCAGTTAGGAGATCGATAAAGCGTGGCGTAAGAGTCTTACACACGCGAAGTGCGCTAGCGTCACACGCCCGTAAGGCGTGTGAGGCGAGAGAAAAGCGTCTCTCCCCAGTCTCGCTCTCTCTTTTCAGCCTCCTTCCAGACCTTTTGTTTGACTACTCGCGCGTACTTGAATACGCACGAATACGGACTGTTTTGCAGTCTATACCGCCCCAAGCATGCAAGATAACCAGGATTCCGCGGGAATACAAGGAATTCTTCCTTTTGGAATCAGAAGTCCTAGGCTTTGGAATACAGAATTGTGCTCAGGGAATCCGGAATCCCGCTAACGATTGGAATCTGGAATCCAAGTTTAACTGATATGGAATCCACATTAAAAATTCAAAATCCAAGACAGTTTTGGATTAGAGCGTTTTGCCTCACGTTGTCAGCAGCTATTCCAATATTAATTGCGACAAAAAGAAGCTTTGAAATACAAAAAGAGCTCAACTCCCACAGGACTGGTTTGGAGAAGCAACAAGGCCTCCGTTTCATTGTTTTGGGAAACCAATAGAAAACTTAAGCAACGACGTTTTTTAGCGACACACGTCAACCGGAAGTGGTCTTTTTGCAATCTTGGCACTTGATTTTGACCATTTTCAGGCGAATCGTCTCTATGAGAGAAAAGGCATTTAAAAATACAAATTTTGTAGCTTCAAGGCATATTAAAAGGGAAAATACTTCACTTCCGGTTGACGCGCATCGCTCAAATCCGTCTTTGCTTTAGGCCTTATATGGGGCGAATTCAAACGAAATCTCTTTGGAAGAACTTTTACAGATTGTTACTTATTTCTTAGGATTTTACAAAAAGAAATTTGAGTGTTTCTGCTATTTTTTTCTCTGTCTACTTGTAGGATAGAAAGGGTTCAATCAGTGACACTGTCGCTCAAAGTTCCTCCTTCGCTTGCGTAACTGGCGGGATTAGCTGAAGAGTGCTGTTATTTTTGGGCGGCGGACTCGCAAACTTTTCGAACTTCACCGTTCACGAAAATCCCTCGCGGCTCCGCCGCCAATAAAGTACCCCGCGCATAAAGAAAATACCCTGCTGATAACAATCCCGCCAGTTACGCAAGGTAGTTCATCGTTCACTGCTCGTTGGCTGGATAAAACCTTCAAATGAGGAAGCCCCAAAGAATATGCAAAATGAACAGTCCTATTATTGCTAATCTTGATCCCTGATCCCTGATCCCTGATCCTGAATTGCAGTAGTCTCCATCACAGCAAGTGTCATCAGGATAAGCTTTAAGGGTTTCTTCGCACGAGGGAAGGGATTCTTTTTCCGCGACACATTTATCTCCTGGGGCACCGCAACCCTTATAGTAGATGGTTTGCTTGATAGTACCATCGCCGTCAGCGCATGTCACCACACCTTGTACACAATTTGGTGATTCCACAGGGCACTCCGTTTTTTCCAGGTTTTCCTTAGTGTTGCAGTCCGCCCAGGATTTGTAACTTTCACAGCTGTAACACCTCAGGATGCAACTAACTGAGAAGCAAATCAACGGTCATTAAACCTTCCTCACATTACGCCAAATTTCCGGAATTTTTTTACAATACGGTACAGTTGGCGGAACCTTGATTTCCGGGACAAAATGTCCGTTTCGAGAAATTCGAATCGTCAGCACAGTAATGATTTCCTCAGAATATATCAGTTTTAAGTTGATGAAAATATCCGTGACAGGCCTTGATATAACCGTGACCTTTGCAAAAAATAAAGCAACTATTTTTAAACATTCAGGTATACAGTTTGTGACAAACTTAGTCCGGTGAAAGTCACGAGATCGTATAAACAGTCCCTCACAAGAAACTGTGTAATTTCGTCTCATTGGGCGAAGACTTGGTATTCGACAGATACCATCTTGGCTCCCAAAAGAAATCTGTATTGGTATACTGGTATAGAAAGGCCATTGGACAAATATACCTTCCAAAGCATCGTGCGTGATTATGGCAGAAAAGAAGAATTATAGCTAGTATTAAGAGGCATATTGCGGATCGTCAATGCATTTTGTCACGCGATGATAGCGAGTAGAAATTTTAACTTGTTATATGTTCTGCTTAGTTGCTGTATCCGTTCCAATGAGCAGACAAATCTTCATTAAATTCCTTTCAAAATGGAAAAATGTATGAATGATTTTTCATCGCCAGGTGTCAAGAATTAACACTTACTCATGGCTGGGATATTTAGTCGAGTAAGACATCTCGCAATTAAGATGTTGCTCACTATTGTGATCGTGATAACAGCCGATACACGAAAACCCTCATTGGGCTTGATGTATTCACTATTTTGCATCAGCTTAAGTTCGATCATCCTGTTGGCACAGGCTTTCTTCCGCTTTCTCGACTCTGGCGTAGAGGACAAGAGGAGATTCGCTCTCAGGGTGAAGCTCGATCTGCTTTCACTTTCGAAACAAAATCTTCAAGTTTAACTTGCCAATTAAGAACGTGACTACTACTTCTTTATGATTATGATGATAGGGGCATTTTCACACTCGCTGGAGGGCCGGCAGAATTATTAACACGCGGTCGGTATACCGATAAATACAAATGTTGCCTTAATACCTATCGACACCAGGCTTTCTTTGAACAGCTGACGGACTAGCCTGTTCCAGGATGAGAGCCATTGTCGAGACGCGAATTGAAGAGATAAGCCGGGAATTGGACTTCGACAGATCGCCGCTTTTTGTTGGAGACGAGAATAAAAATTATTTCAAAAGAGAGCATTTATACAAAAACAAGTTTAGCTTACCTCTCTGAGGTGCAATGAGAATTGCTATGACTAGAAATATGCGATAAAAGCTTGATGCCATCGTGTTGAATTCCGTACACACACCACCACCACCACAATACTCACCACGCACGAACAAACTGGTTCTGGCCCATTCCTCTCTCGTTCCGATCTTTCACTGTGAAAAGGAGAGGAGAGGAATGTGTAGCGAAAATATAGTGTCCTTCCTTATAGAGTTCTGAATTTCCCTCTTAAATAATAAAAAAAGAGTCAAAGTTTGAGATTTGACTACCGTTATATTCGAGTTAGACTATGTTGCTAAATGAGAGGAACAATACCTTCTTTGGGGGGGGGGGGTTATGGTAAATGACATTGGTCGAGTAACGCCCCAAAGATAGCGGTCAGGTTTGTCGCGTCAGTCGAATTGCCCTCTGAAACAAAAGCTTAGTTTGGTACCAGTCACTGTTATCTCCAAACTAACCAGCTCGATCATTCGAGTTGAGCCTTGGTAGAGGATTCATAAGTTCTCAATCGCGATGGAGGTCGGCTTTCGTAAATTCTTTGTTATAACAGTCGTGTTGATCGTGTCTCCGAGAGTTAAGCCGGTCAAAATTTATACTGTCTAAGTATGTAAGTGTTTGTTGAAGCAACCGCAACAAGCTAATTATAAGACTGTAGAAATGTCGCCGGAACTTGAAGTTTAAGTGTGATTTTTTTGCGATTTTTTCAATCTTGATGCTGTGCTTACCGTTGGAAGCGTCACACGTAAATACTACCACAACTCTAATTTTTAGCTTCTTTTTTCTTAAAGAATTGGCTAATTAATCAAATTAAACAATGACGGACGGCAAATCACCACGAAATCACTGCTTGGTTACAGGTTCGCTATTATTGCGCAAAAAAACCGGGAATAATCTGACTCTGTGACGGCCTCGCTAATACACAGCATTCAGAGCATTTGAGTTTATTCTCTGAGCTGCAAGACTTGCAAAAGCCAAAAATCCTGGGAAGATTGTCGATCAACGAAGACCAACCCAGAGTGTCCTTCAGGATCACCGAATTGCTTTATGGGCAACCTTAATTGCAGGTAACGGTATAAACACCACTGCCACAGGGGGCCCAAACGCTGTACTAGCTAATAGAAAAAATTAGATGTATTTACGCTGTATTAGCTAATAAAATAATAAGATGCATTTTTCTTTGTTCCTGTGTCTTTATGAGTCGTTTTGGAGGGGATTTGAATCCGATCAGAGACGGTTAACATTGCTGGTTGCTTGTCTGGCGCATCGTAAATAAGACGCTCAAGTTTCGTCTCACGTTTCTAATATTGTCATGTTAACTATTAACTCTTGATCTCCTTGGGAGATGATCTCGGGTTTCAGCAAGACAAGCAAACGCATTTGATAACCAGCAATGTTAACCGTCCCTGATCGGATTCAAATCCCTTCCAAAACGACTCATAAAGACACAGGAACAAAGGTAAATACATATTATTATTTTATTAGCTAATACAGCGTAAATACATCGAATTATTCTATTAGCTAATACAGCGTTCGGGTTCCCTGTGCCACTGGGGTGTGGCATCGAAGGACAAGCCTGCAACACGACATGCGTTCCCACTTGCCCTCCTTTGAAGAACGGTTGGGATCTGTCCAAGTTTGCCGGGCACTGCTACATGGATCAAGGTGAAAGCTCCACCTCTGGCTCCTCGTATATACGAGCGTCGCACGTATAGGAATATTCATTTTGCTGGCCCTTTGGGGTCTGTATACTTTTCTGTATTAAACACCGCATTTAGTTTGTCGAGGGTTACTTCTTTGCTAATAACTTGAGGGTTATTCCAATTCCGAGAGACGTGGGTCAAGTACTCCCTCCCTCTCCCAACCACGGCGGGGAGATGGAAAAAAAACGAATGAGGCCAGACACTCTTGCAAAGTAATATCCGGCACTACAGATGATAACAGACAATAGATAATAGCAGTACAATAATGGAAAACCTTCATGTAATTAGCGTGAGTGATTGGGTCACTTGCTGCCAAATCCCGAAATCGTTCACCTTAACTAACAGCTGCTGGTGCCTTTCTAACAATGGGTTTTTTTGCTGAACGAATATATGACTCTCGCAGTGTAATTGCAATTTAAGCAATTACAAATTAATCCCAAAAAATTTCAGAGGCGCTGCAGTGCTCTACCAACAAAGCTATGAAACCCACAAATTAGGAGCAGACCAAATTGTTGAGCTCATCTTATTAATTAACCCGCGAAAGCAATGAAACAGAGAATGAAGATAATTCAAAATGCAGAAATACGAATCGAAATGAAAATATGACCACCGCAGTGGAAATTCATCTTAAGCAATTGCAAATCAAGCCCCCTCCCCCACCCCCCTCCCCACAGAAAAAAAAAGAAAGAAAGAAAGAAAGAAATTCAGTGCTAGCGCTTCAACTGGATTCAAACTCATGGCCTCTTATTTCCGAGCCAGATACCATACCAGTGCACTATTAAAATTAATTTCTGTATGACCTGTAATGATCAGTAATTTCTTTCTGTTGGCAAAAATCAGGAGCCCTTAAGCCCATATCGATTTCTAATGTTTTTTATCGATTGTTATCGACTACTATCGATTCCTATCGATTTTTATCAGTTCTGTTAATCGATAATAATCGAAAAAAATTTTAATCGATTAAGTACTAACTATAAGTGAAGATACCTGTGAAGAATGACAAGGGTTTCATGACGGGGTATAGTAGAAGTGCTACATTATCCTTGCTGTGCTATTATTCCCCGGGGGAATGACCCCCCGAATGAAAGAGACGGGGCTGCTCGGAATATTTGGAGACCAATCTTGGTGTGAGCCTCGGGCTCTTTTGTTCAGACGTTGGATAGCACTATATATATCCATCGGATATACTAACCAGGGGATTTAAGTATCAAGGAAACCAATTTCGCTATCCACTGGATAGCGTTATTCATGCATGTTCACCTTTTGAAAAACTGGAACCACGCTTCAGTTGAACACCCTCTAAGTTGGCGAGATGTCCCTTTTAGCGCCTGTTAACGTAAAGGTGGGTGACCCCAGATAGGTGCACGTGAGGTAACATGTAGCGGGTCACCCCGCCTATCATGGAAACGTGATCAAATTAACATAAGAGATTAATAAATGGCAGGCGGGTTACCCCATCTACCTGGGGTCCCCTACCTCCATGTAAACGGGCCCTTAGATTTTGTCGACAAAATATTTAGCCTTAGATTAGAGAGACCTTACTAATCGAGGAAACCAATTTCCAAAACCCATATAGAGAGCTAATTAAAAAATGATCTGAGAGTAGACCAATTCCAATATCTTATAATTCATACTTGGCTGCGAGGCTTGGGGGAATAAAACAAAAGAAATCATCTTGAGGCTCAGCAATGAATGATACGTTTCTTTTGTTTTATTTCCCCAAGCCTCGGAGCCAAGTATGAATTTTAAAATATCGAAAAGTTGGGCTGTATTTGGAGAATTCACCTTAAAATGCTCCCGAGCAGGCGACCGTAAACACTCAAAATCATTTATTCAGACGTTTCAAAGTTTTCGCTGATAATACGGTGAAAAGACCAGTTCTTTGCGACTGATCAACTGTTGCCCTCGGTTATTACAAGAAAAACTCAATAATAGAGTGAAGCTTTCGTAAAATGAGTTTAATTGAACGTTTTTTAACAAGGGCATGAAGCAATCATTGCTAATAGTGCAACTGTCTTTCATCTGCCTTTCTTTGTAAAAATGACGAACGTTTTGCAACTAACGAGTGGGAAGAGGGGGGAGGACTGTCTCATTCATGCAGACACACTAAAATGATTACTTTTTTCAAGAAGTTTACAGGTAGTGCGTGTGCTAATTATAGCCAACTTCTAACTAGTCAGCATTTCTTAGCACAAATTACTGTATTGTTGGGAGCGACTTCCCTTTTGCGCTTAAACAAAGCAGCCTAAATAGGGTCAAAAAATGGCGCTGTTGGTCAGGGTTAACGTCAGCACGACTATAGGCGGGGCATAAGAGAGGCCCTTGGCTTTTACGTAGCTCTCCTACTAATTGGTGTGTCCCAGAGTTTTTGTTTCGATCTACATACGATCATTGACTTTCAGCACAGTGTTTTTTGAAGTGAAAGTTTTCTAGTATTATTCACTTACAAGAGTTACAGCCGAGGATCACGAAGAAAAGACATTAAATTCTGCCTGAACTCTAACTGGAAAAACTTACCATAGAATGCAAAAATAATAGTTAAATAAGGAAAACTGAAACATGCGATAATCATCCTTAAGTACTTTTTATGCCATCCGGCCTACTTAACAACGTTCTAGACTTCGTTAACTAACAAAGCGAAGCGTGTTCTTGTGAGGCGCCGGTGGTCTGACCAATTAAGTCAACCACCTTGACAAGGAACAGCATTAACGTTTTCTCAGTAAACACACTATAGATAATTTATTACTTCTTCATTATTATTAGTGGAAGCTTCTTTCAGATCATTGAAGTCAGTAAACCGCATGCGGCTGTTTCGCCGGCAAAACTTGATTAAACTACTACCAAACAGTAATTGCTACTATTTATTTAATACTTTCAATGGAAAGTAGGAATCAGTTCCTGAAGAAAAATGTAAAAATGTACACTTGTAGACACACCCATTCAGGAATTGGCGGCTTTATTTAACTCCCTTGCAAGTTTTCAATGACACTGAGAAATAAAGGCCATTTGAAACGATGATCTATCTCGAGAAGATCAAATTGAAAAAAAAATCTTTGAGCGGGCTCCAAGTTATTATAACATTTGTTGAAATAAACCACGCTATTTGCAAAAACACCAACAAGAGTCTACTAGGCTCAAAGAACGTTTTAAGATCCTTAAGAAATGCCGAGCAAAGTTTGAGTGTCTCATTTATGAGATGTTATTAATTAAGGAAAAGAGACCAACCTTAAAACAAACCGATTCCATTCCCGCAAAACTTTTCACTTAATTATTTCAACATTCTTTTTGTTCTTCAAATTTAAGGTTGTGTTTCACACCGTCGTGTCCTATATATATCGTTTCATACGCTCTTACATTTGCATTTGATAATGATGACATGCCGTCGCCGAAACGTCTTGTTTTGATAGCGTTGCTTTTTATCCTTAAAGGATAAATTAGGTTTTTATTCGTAAAATCAGTGTCTTTAAATATGCATGCATGCAGAAAGGCATGTTAAGTTCCTTTTCAGTTTTAAGTACCTAAAAAAACAAACCAATTTCAGTTGTCTCTGGGAAAAAAATAGATAAATAATGGAGTCACTTTACTGACATATTTGGCAGTCTTTGCCTGCCTTCATTTTTAATAGCAATTCCAAACAGCACAAAAACAATTGTAAATGGCACCCGCCACCTTTTTTATCCTGTTTTGTCCGCCTACAGTAGCATCACACCTAACTGAAGAGTCACGTTATGACCATATTTATCGGTCAAAGTTCGTCCTCTAAGTGAAAAGAGAATGTCTTGGAGAATGCGGAAACTTCAGTTGATATTAGGCGCTGCTTTGGAGCCCTGCCTATAGAGGAAAAATATTCTTGAACAGTGACGTCACCTGATGGCTATATAGTTTGACGCACTCTTGTTTTCTCTCATCTTATCTAAGACACCGCAGACATTGCACTGAGCTCAGCTATTGCACATATTTTGTGACGATGATGCAAGCGATTCCTGATGTCAATAGGCGTAGTTTTGTGCAGTCGCTGGAACTCGATGAATTCCCATTTCACGTTGGGAAGGGTCAGCGTTATGTTAGTGATGGAAGCCTTGTCTCCTTTGTCTCCTCTCTGACGGGTGAGCAGAAACAAGACGTCTTAGATTCTTCCCTTTTGGCGCAGCTGGCTGCAAACAAGAAGTACGACCGCGAAAATGACACCGACAAATGGTACAAAGAATACACTAATGTCATGCAAATGCTTGGTTGGGTTATGCAAGGATTCAAGTTCGGCAGATACAAGTCTTCCGCTGCTTCTTTCTCCCTCTCCCAAGTAACTCTGGAAATTTTGAGTGCTCTGGTAGGGGGTGAGGCAGAAATCCTGAATGTGATGAAGGCCACCATCAGTGCATTGGCGAAATCTCCAGAAGGTCTTAATCTGTTCGAATCTGGCGGTATCCAAGGTAAAAACGGCAACTTCCAGATTGTTCCATGTACAACCGACAGGAGCGGGCAAGTTAATGTAGCTTTCATGTGTTTCTACTTCAAAGCCAATCGCCATGAAGACAACTTCTTTTTCTTCTCCTGGAAACGACAAGACATCACGCTGCTCTTTTCAACCCAGACCTGCACTTTAAACGAACAAGCATATGCCCAAGTCCGTGAAGCAGTCATTGAAAAGCTGGGAAAAAGAAGGATTACTTTTGTTCATGACCTGGACATTTAAGGCATCGATCACTTGACCTAAAGTGACTTAGTAACTGTCGTGTGAACCCTTTTCAGTTTTATCGTGCGAGTTTTACATTTGTTGCAAGTAACCGAATTCCTAGGCTTAAAATGTATTTCAGTATTATCCGATTGCCATGTGTGTGAAGTTTTCCGTTACACTTAAATTTTTTCAAAATGACCGAACTTTACTATAATCAGTAACTTCGAGATCAAATGAGTGACTTTTTAAAATAAATTGATTATGTTAAATTCAGTAATCAAGGAAGACCTGTTAAGTTAACAACAGTAATTTCAGAGAGCGTGTGGATTTTAAATAGTGCAATAAACTGAACTATGTGTGTCAAATAAGTGGCTTTTATTCTTAATTTACAGGGGTCGTGGGCGGGAGATCTCAGTTCTATAATTAGCGCAGGTGCAGAGCTTTCGTCCGGTTGGCGTGAAAGTCAGTCCACATTCGCACCACCAAGGCGACGCTTCGTTATTAAGTAGCCCCCACCCATCCACCCACCGCACTTGAAAAACTGCTGCGCGGGCCCTGTTAAACTGAGTTTTATTGAACCTTTCGGCTCGTAGCAAACGAAACAATCATGATTCTAAATAGCGTACTTTTTCAATATGCTCTCCCTTCCTTGTATATGTTGAAAGTTCTGCTATTAGCAGTAAGCAGGGCAATCACATTATGCCCGTACAACAATTTCGAAATATCACTCGTGGTATTTATGCCAAATATCACTACAAATCATGCTATTACCTATACAAATTCAACCCTTAAATTAATTACCCTGAGGATAAATCAGTTTCTTTTTGTACATCAGCGCTTATATTTATGCTTGGAGCAGGAGACGATAGGAAACTGACAAAGTCAGAAAAATGGCGTTAACGAAAGCTTAGTTAGTAGTCAGGATTAAAGACTAGACTTGTTTGGAAGATTTAACTTGGGCAATCGTGATTTATAGTTGCTCATTGAATATATATTGATTATCACAGAAGTGGCTTGTGTTCAAATCCCTCTGCGAAATAACACAACTGCAATCTGCCTGTTATCGAAATTTTGAGATAAATTACTGCACCAGCGATCGGCCGATCTATTGCCTTTAGCCCAAACATTAAAAATATCATCTGATGGTAATTTTAGGCATTGACACGAAGGTCTAAAACCTCACCCTAAGTTTAGACGATCGAGCAACAACCTGCATCGAAAAGAAACTAATTTAGGTAGATTGAACATCGCCATTTTATGTTTTAAACTTGGGCATAATTTACTCTCAACTTGTAATCGCCTTCTCATGATTAAGTATAACTCTGCTAAATAGGTTTAAAAAATTGATTGTTCTGAGATATGTTTTTCATACTAATACGTGATAATTGTCATCATTCGTAGATGATTTCCTGATTGTAAATTCAGCGCTCTTCTGGTTAACGTAGTTTCACAGCTCCATGCAAAACCCTTTGTAATTAAAGGAATACTTTATGAAAAATATGAATAGGTAAGATTAACACTGACCATATATATATCGTGCCCCTAAGGACAAGCTAGCAGTGATGTCGGCTCAAATATATAATTAATAACTTCAGCAGAAAACCGGGCAGGAAGAATCGATAAAGTTGCCTGAATAACATTTAGCGTCTCTGTGAGTAAATAAATTCTACACTTTGTCTTAACACCTTTTTTACTCTGTCGTGTGTATCCTGGTGACAACAAACGTTTTCTCAGGACACGAAAAACGCGGCCGTCTAATCAGGCTGGTTGACGAGTCTTTGCACTAACACTTTCGGTTTTCTTTTAAATCAGAAAACGGACGAAAATTTTTTGTGAAAAACGTTCTCATTTAATTACCTGTATAGGTTCTAAAGCGGAATTATTCCTGGTTTTCGCTTAGTTTTTCCTGTTCCCCACAGCAACGCAGACGACAAACTAATCCGCCGTAAAACGTTCCGGCCATTCTAGTCTTCTAAAGGTATAGAGCAGCTCAAGACGATTTTACTGTATCAGTACATGATAAAACAACATGCAGTATTAATAGATTTTAACGACGAATAACTTCTCTTTTCCGCCCCTCCATATCGCCTGTGTGTATTGTGTATTTCGCTGTTAATATCCTCGGAAAAGGGACTACTCGTAGTATTCTAAAATCCCCGCGATTAAAGTTGGGCTGTACTTGGAGAATTCATCTTAAAATGCTCCCGAACAGGAGACCGTAAACACTCAGAATCATTTATTCAGACGTTTCAAAGTTTTGGCTGATAATACGGTGAAAAGACCGGCCCTTTGCGACTGATCAACTGTTGCGCTCGCTTATTCCAAAAAAAATTCAATAACCAAAAGAGTAAAGCTTTCTTAAAATGAACGTTTTTTAACAAGGGCATGAAGCAATCATCGCTCATAGTGCAACTGTCTTTCATCTGCCCTTCTTTGTAAAAATGATAAAAGTTTTGCGACGAAAAGTGGAAAGGGGGAGGGGAACTGTCTCATTCAGACACTAATTAAAAATGATTAATTTGTTTACAAGAAATTTACAGGATGTGCTGTGCTAATTACAGCCAATTTCTAACTACTCAGTATTTCTCAGCAAAAATTAATTTATTGTTGGGAGCGACTTCCCTTTTTCTCCTAAACAATTAACCAGCCTAAATGGGGTCAAAAAATGACTCTGTTGGTCAGCTTTGACGTCGGCGTGAGTATAGGCGGGGCATAAGAGAGGCCCTCGCACGTAGCTCTCTTACTAATTAGTGTGTTCCAAAGTTTTTGTTCGATCTACATACGATCATCGACTTCCAGCACAGTGGGTTTTGAAGTGTAAGTTTTCTAGAATTGCCCAAAATATATGTACAACCGTAGATCAGGAAGTTCAGGACGACTCATGAGAAAAGATTAATATTAAATTCCGCCTGAATTCTAATAGGAAACACTTATCATATCAGTACTATATTAATAGAGAAAAAAAAACACGACAATCTTTTTGCCAAAACCAAAAACATGCTATAATTATCCTTAAGCACTTTTATCATGCGACCTGCATAACAGCCAACCTCGTCCCCAGGGCTTTTCCCTTAAAAAATGGGTGGGGCGGGAAAAGGCCCTGGCATCGGCTGGTCACGTGCACAGCCTAAATATTCCTGAGAAGCTAATTTATATGCAACCCGCTGGTTTTGCACTGACAGAAGTCGAACGGAGCAACAGTGGAAAATAATAATATCGCGAACTGTATGTCAATATTTTCGCGTCTGTGCGATTCAAAATTAAGCTTAAGATCCATTTAATTGCGTATTATTCAAATGCTACAGGTTTATGAAAGGGCGTACCGGCTCTACGTTGTCACGTACAAAATATGTCAAATGCTTCAGAGTTGAGACAAGCTGTTATCGAGTAGTACTTCGACTGAAATTCATCGTGACTGTGGAATTACTGTACGATCAAGCAGAAAGTGATTTTGTCCAATGTCAAACAAAAATGCGGGCCTTTGCCTCTAGGATCTGCAGTGAATTTAAAAATGCTTTGTGGGGTCTGGTCTTCTCTACAACCCGACCATGAAACAAACAAATCTCCGCGCCGGATGCAAGTTAGCCCTCCAGCCAGGAACGATGACAGGTCGCCGATCTGAAACATTTTAAGATCGCTTATATCTTTTCTCTTTCGAGGATAAGTACAAAGGATTTTCCTTATATCAAAGGGAAGATTGACCGATCGATTGGAATCAACTACAGCTCTGTCAATTTTAAATGGACCCAAGTCTTTCTTTGTTACCAGTCGTTTGATACCCTGGGTGCCAGAAACTTTTCATGCGCGGTTTCCGGTTTCGGTCAAGTCTCGCAGAGGTCAATTAATTTTTTAAAAATACAGGTCATACTAGATAAGTCTAAACCAACGCGTGTCGCTATGATATGGCTGAGAGTCAAAGCGAATAGAACTAGGTTGTGTACGGCGGTCCACTTCGCAATAAATAAATAAAATATCAAAAGAGTCGCGAAAACGGACTTTTCCATGCCAGTACAAACTTTATGCTTGTACGATAGCTTGTTTGTCATTTATATCGCTCTATAAAGGAAGTTTTACAAATGTTACCGCTCGCTGTCTCCTTCATAGAAATCGGAGGAAAGCAAAAAATTACCATAGCCAGTATCTGTGACAAAAAAGAAATCCTGTAAAAATTTTCGTTACTCGTCAAGAGATATAAAAGGCCGCCCAAGATCGCGCGCTGTGAGGTTACGCATAATTTTAGCTTTTCACATAGCGCTAATTTATTACACCCAGGATTTTAGGGTGTACGAGGGGACACGTGACCAGCCGATGCCAGGGCCTTTTCCCGCCCCACCCATTTTTTAAGGGAAAAGCCCTGGGGACGAGGTTGCATAACAGCGTTCTAGGCTTCACTGCATAACAAAGCAGAGTGTTGTTGTAAGGTGCCGGTGGTCTGACCAATTAAGTCATCGAGAGTCAATCACCTTGACATGAACAGTATTAACGGTTTTGTCAGTAAACGCACTTCAGATGATTTATTACTCTTTTATTATTAGTGGAAGGTTCTTTCAGATCATTGAAATAAACCACCGCATGATGCTGTTTCGCTCGAAAAAAGTAATTAAACTACTACACAGTAACTTCTACTATGCTTTCAGGTGAAACTCGGAAACAGCACCCATGAAAAATGTGAGAGTCACACTTGTAAACTCTCCCTCTCAATAAAAAATAGAGGCCATTTAAATCAATCGATCTCGAGAAGGTAAAAATTAAAGAAAAAATCGTTGAGCTGCTTCCAAGTTATGATAACATTTGCTGAAATGAACCACGTCATTTGCAAAAATACCTATCATAGCAGCTCCTTAATGCGTACCAAGAAAAAGCTTGAAATTCTTTGCCTCCAAGCATGAACTCTTCGTATAAGTTTACGGTTTTTTTTAGTTCTTTATAGCCAATTATCAGAGGTTTTTAGTCAAACATCATAAAATATCGGTCTCCCGAACGCTTTCGTAGGTTTTGTTTCTACCGTTACGAACATC